TTCTTATAAAATGAAATCACAACTATGCTATTCTTCATTATTGCATATCAAAACAGCTCTACAAGTATTACAGTGGTGTGAAGAACATTACCAAATTATGTGAAGGTGAAAATGTATGATCCAAACGACGTTATATCGCTATTTTAGCGGACGTTTTTACTTATAGCCTGTAAAAAAAGTCTAATAATGATAACCTGTTTCATCTCAAACCAACATTAGCCAAGGTTTAAGCTACCTGATAAGAATAGCACAGATAACTCATGAAGAGCTCACTCCCCATGTTTTTCGCCGCACCGGCAACAGCCGGGTCGCTCAACGCTTGCGAGACCACAATGTGTCGTTCGCTGCAAGGAACCATCACACGGTTACCGTGTGCACAACTTCCTTCTGTCGATGATAACCTTCGTTGCTGCTTGTAGTAGCTTGTGGTAACCAGAAGGTGAACAGGACAGTTTCCATTTCTCGAACGCGGCTGAACGCTCACACAATCTTCACTGCAATGGCTTGGTTTGCGCAATGCTGGTTTGTCGAGAACGGCCTCTCGGAGGCTATGCTGCCTACGTCAGTCCTTGGACAGCCAATAAATGCCGCTGAGCGGTGAGTCAGAGGATTTGCGGAGAATGCACTGGGGCAAAAGCGACGCGCCAGAAGATTTCGGGAGCAACCACGGGAGCAAAATCAGGAAATTGTCCCCGTTTTTCTCCGGTTTTCATCGCTCGGTGCCCATTGGAAGGAAACGGTGGAAAACGAATGTATTTGGTCTGGTACTTTTTGGTTTGAGTGAGGCCACCGGAGCAGACAGGGTGAATTATACGCCAATTTTTTCAGCTGGGTACATTTTTGTTTACAGTGGATGTTCGTGACCTGAACAATAACCCGCGCATATATCGCACCCTTGCATTTTGGAGGCCCAGTAAGCAAAGCGGCCAGATGTGTTTAACGTCGAAAGCCGACACCTTTTATGGTGGTCGGTAACGACGTCAAAAAAGCTGACCACGTAGATAGAGCCAAAAGTTCCCAATCACCGCCCCCCCCCCCCGATTGGCCAATCACTTGCTTTCCATAACGCTGTATTTGCTCTCGGGCCTGTTCATTGTGAGCCTCACGTATACCACGTTGTATTCTGTGTGACTTGCTCCACGTTGTGTGAGCACAGCACCCAGCCTACACTGCTTTCTATGGGATTAATATGGGCCTCAGGGTGAAACTGAGGGTCAAAATGGCGAGTTATTGCTGTTGTTCTAAGAATACGAAACTAGGTGGTGAGGGCCTGGTAGCAGGGAGGAGACCAAGAAGAAATATTTTTTGTGCCACCGACAAGTTGCGTGATAGGTAGTATGATTGACGCAACGGTTCAAACGATTGCTCAAAAATATAAACGGAGGCCAATGGAACCTTAAGTCCGCCAATTGTAGTGGGTTTATTAAACGAAGTAAGGACATGGAGATTCTTATGATCCAAAAAACTGTGGTCGTTGGACACAACGTATCCTAGAGTTCTGTGCTGACGTTCCACAAATCGACATTTTTTTTAGATTTATTTGCAAACCGGCCTGCGTCAAGCACGTGCTCAAGTAAGTGCGAGTGTGTGAAAATGAATTGTGGACACCACGATATTATCAAGGTGGCAGACGCTGATCCTCCTATTGAGGCCGCGCAAGGCGTTGTCATCATTCTTAAGAACGTGGCAGGTGCACTCTACAGTCCGTAATACATGACAATAAATTCATACAGGCCGTCTCGCGTTACGGAAGTGCTGTTGGGACTATCGTTCGAGCAGTGGGACCTGCAAGCAGCCAGACCGCAAGTACAGTGTTATAAAGCATTGTATTATGTGAACAATCAAGAGCATCGTCAATGCGTGGCAGTGAATTTGCATCCTTTGGCGTGTTCTTGTTTAATAACTGAACATACTTTGAGCTGCGGAAAGAGCTCTCTTTGTGACAAGTGTAACCAGAGAAGCCCATAGACTCTCTGAAGAATGACTGACACATCGGCACAATGGATCGATTTGGGGTCCAATAACAAGACTTCCAGCACAAGACAGGTGACATAGCCACCTCCGCAGCAACAAGTGATAGACAGGGTCGATGAAGTGTAACTGGAGTTGAACTGAAGCTCAACTGAAGATGAAGTTCAACTCTTGAGGCACGGCCTAGTGATGTTTGTACAAAGTCGAAAGAAGAGTGGAAGCGCTCAAGCGTGATAACAAGCAGACATCGCTGTGTAGGTCCATAATTTTCGGCAAATAGTGGGCCGAACACATCCCTAGAGGCTCAAGCAGACACTAACAGGACGTCCAGTTTACTGAGACGGCTAGATGACATGTCGTCAGTGACGCAGAGAGCTCTTGAAGAGTTGACAATCTCATTGTGTCCAAGGCCCTCACGACGAAGCAATGATGGCGGTGATGACAGGTGTTTGTATTTGGCCATTATGTTGAAACCTGCAGCGAAATCAACAATCATCATCATCGTCGTCATCATCGTCACCAAAATTGTGCTGAAAAGCCAGCATAGAAGATAACGACTGTGCTCAAGAATTCGTTCAATGAATGCCTTGCAGGTTAGTGACAGTTATGTGCTGTTGCTTTTTATGACAACGGAGGATGCATTTGCGGTCCACAGGCCCTTATTATGACTGTAATCTAATCTTGCTTTTCTTGTTCCTCTACAGTTACCACATGCTTCTGCGCATTAAAGTTCCCGTTCTGCTTCGTTTAAGAAGCTCCCTCTTCACAATATTGTCTCGCTCTCCGCAATATTGTCTGTATTGTAGCATAACCCGTTAAAATTTCCGCACGCACCTGCAAACGGTAGCTAGGTGCACCTCACTAGATGAGCGTGCTTGTGCATTCAGAAGCTGACAAAGCAGCTCGATGTTGACCAAGTGATGTTGACCTTTTCTCACGCAGTCCGTCGGCTAACTTTTCCACCTTTCGCCCTAACGTGATCCTGGTCTCCGTTCTCCGTAGCTACTAGTGCGCGTGAATCACACTGGGTACGTGTTCCCACGCACTATCGGGTGGTCTTCGCTGCTTTCGTCCTAATGAAATCATGGCCTTTGGGATATGTGTAGGAACCTGTGCGCGTCAGACAAAATAGGGGCGAAAACAAAGAGGCTGGCGCAAACTCAACGGGCTGCCACGCACACAAGCTCTACCGACGCCGACTTTACTGGCATAATTACGGACCTCTGGGTTTATTGCAGGGAAGACATTTTTTGTTCTTTTATCGTTGTGTTTAGCCCACAGTCGGACCGAAAATTTCATAAAGCCTAAAGAGAAGCGCAAAAGGGGGGAAAATGATCTGAAAGAAGCTGTACGAATTTTGGTGCCTGGTTCGTCGCGCGGCAATGTCCAAAATATTATCTTTATTTTCACAAAGAACACATCAAATAAAAAAAAAGCTTAACGTGCAACTTGTCCTGTTCATCGTAAACGCCGGCAGTGCAAGAGTACAACAGCCACACGCAGAGATTTCGTCAACCATATCGTTGCAAGACAGCGTGTTGAAATCCGCTCTGTTGGTTTCGGATTGCACCGGCGCACACGGCGCGCAGGTCACGTGCTTTTTGAGACAGAGAGGGAGTCGCGCCTTCTGCTTCGCATTCACATGTAAACAAGAGAGGAGAATTTGCCTAGTCAATATGGCCGAGTTCCGGCTCCATCGCGGCTTCACAACGAGTGACGTCAGGGCCTCTCCTTACCTTTCCTTCCTCCGTGGGCCTAATACATTTTCGCCTCTATCTAAAATGCAGCCGCCGCAGCCACGAAACCACCGCGGCGGGGCGCCCTTGATCGAGAGCATTCAGCATCAAATCTGTCTACATTGGTCAGATTCGCGCGGCTAGGAAGCAGGCTGCCGGCTTATAAGCCACGTGTTTCAGTTTTTCGGCAACGGCCAAATGCGTTTCGTGTGACAGTGGAAGAGGCGAGTGGTTTTTGGTTGCATAAGCGTGCTGCATAATCATAGAAGTCGAGAGTATGCCCGAGGGTTCCGCGAGCGTAGCTCCGGCTCAAGAAGGATTAAAAAAACTTCTGGAGTGGAAATGATTGCGCAGAAGTGAAGCCGTTTCTCTGGCAAGATGGCGGCTGTGGCGGCCATCTTACTAGGGGCATAATAAAGTATCCCCTTTCAGCGATCAAAAATGAAGCGTTTTCCTCGCACGCCCAACGAATTTATTGTGGGAACTTTTTCGCGCCACATAGTGCTCCAAGTGCGTCCTAAAGTTACTAGTTTTCCGTAGTGAGCCTCAAATTGGAGGCGAAGTTCTTTCAAGATTCAGCCATCCATACTTGTTTCTGTGTGTTATTTCGTCGGGAACAACTATCCGTTAATATACAGCTAATGTAGCATTTACATAACGTATCAAAGCCACTTGATCCTTAAGTGGGCACTATCAGAAAAGAGCATGTTTCCGCCATCTTGGCAGTGGCAATAGGTGGCTTTACTTCTGCTGGCAAGCCATCGCAGGAGCTTCGACTCCAGCAATTTTTCTTTTCTCCTCCTTGCTCCCGCTCTGTGCATGCCGATGTCTCCGCTGCTGCACCGGATCAAACTCATAACGTGACTGTTCGGCCGCAGAGCAGCGAGATCTAGATTTACCGACATAAGTAGGCTCAGGTGGGCAGTGATCGTCAAACACATTGGTACATTCACTGGCGGAAGTTAGGCAACTTCTGGCATACTATTTTTCACTTGTCGGGTAATAAATACAGATAGTTGAGCAACAGTTCAGTTTATACTTTGCTCAGCGTCGGCTCTTACGTGCACATGCCAGCGGCACGTTTAAAGGCGTCCTTTACGAAGAGCAGAGATGCCTGACTATCTGTGATTCGAGGGGCTCTGACGTGCGCCAGCTCAGTCGAAGGCGGATGTTAAAGGCGTCAGAAAGAAAACAATTGGAAGTCTTTCCGGCATGATGCCATTTAACTTCCGCTTATAGCTGCCGCTGTGCTTATTCATAGGTGCTTGTTCCTCAACCGGCCGGGTTCTTGCACATCGTTGCACGCGCCCGGAGACAAAAGCAGCGGGCCTCCTCGAAGCCACGGTGCTCCAACCGAGAAATGCTCGGCCGATGTTGTTCGACACGCTATGCCGCTATGGGATCCGCAAACCTTTTGAAATTGAACGCTGCGTGTACGAGTACCCCGATCGGCGGCTAATCATTGCTCGTCGTCGTCGCGGCTGGCTGACCCGACAGAGAAAAGAAACATG